TCATGTAGAATTTAGCATCAACAGAAAAAAGCTTGAGAAGCATAAAGGTTGAACCAAATCAGACTTACCCTGTTCACCAAGGAGACTAAACCAGGAGATGTGGATGGAGAGGCTAGGAGTAGAGGCACCTTTTATATCTTTCTTAAACTGCTTACAAATATGAAACACCCTTTGTGCCTCAGGTCCTATTCAGTAACAAAACAACCTTCCCATTGAGGGATTTAATTTTGCTGGCTTTGCATTGCCACTCCCCACCTTCCAAAACAAGTGTGATACAATTTCAGTACTAAGTTCTGGGCACTGGTCTGGTGAATGATGACATCTTTCAGACATCTAATACCCAGCACGAGCACTGGGCCTCTGCTGTTTTTAGGGTTGATGAGTAAGGATCAGTTAAAGTCATCTGTCTTTTAGTAACAGTGCCATTTAAGTGAATTCTGTGAAAAGCTGGATAAAAAGAGGGAGGGGGTAATAGAAAGAGGGAGAATTTCAGGTATCTACATCCGGTTTAGAAACATGGGGTTTTAAACATCTGCATTTGCAGATCAAATACCAATAATTGCTTGTGAATTATAAGGTGGATTCCATTGTTACTTTTACTGCTGTCTTTGGAATGTCATTGAGACAGTGATACTTCAATGATACTCCCAATCCTCCTAGGAATGATAAGAGGCTTTACAAACACCTACTGAAAATTCACATTTGATGTGTTGTACCATGATTATACATGACATGCAATGATCAGCATTCAAATCTTGTGCAAGAACATCAATCTGGGGATGTGTGAATGAAGCGATCTGTCGTTAGGTACAGCTTCATGCATAAGAGTCATTTAGAGGTGAGAGCAAGTGATCTGGAGAGTCTAAGAGTAGAGATTTTAGAACATCGATCTATCTGACCCCTTGTTTTTCTGAACATGGAATAATAGCCAGTTAAACCTGAAAATTCAGATTATTGTTATTTTTTCAATAGAATTTAAGTCAATAGACATTTCAGGCATAGTAACAAAGTACTGTCTTGGGAGGTGAAGCTACTAGCTACAGTTGGTAACACTGACATACCATAATCTCCCCAAACTTATTCATACTTAGCAAAAGTATTACTGATCACTGATTTGAATGAAAATCACATCATTGCTACTAGTGAAGTTACAAATCATGGTCTGATTGAGGAATCAAAATAATTGGCTGGCATATTTTTAAATGATGTTATTTCATAACAGGGGCACTTCCAAATCTTACCTTTCTTCATTTAATATGATAATAACAGAAATTGCAAGCACTAACTATTAACGAGTATTTGTGAAGCAGTTTAAAGTCATTATCTTCCAGGTGCCTCATTATAATCAGCAAATCCTGATGACACTTCAAAGGCATAAGTATCTTACAATTTAGAGGTAATTTATAGCCTATCTTTTGCAATATTGTAAAATTAGAAAATGACAGATTTGCAAATAACTATATGATGCCACAGACTTATTAAAATATATTCCTTTTTACTACTATTTTATTCATTTCCCACTTCTTAATTGGTCAGGACTTTAGGGAATGAGGAGAAAATCAGGATTGTTTTGAAATGTATTTCTAACAGAACTTCTAAAAGTCAAGATTTCAAATGAAATTTTGACATGTTTGGTTGTAAAGTTAGACAGAGACAAGGTCAGCAGTCTGCCTATTTCAGTAAGGTCTTTTCTGCTTCTTTGGAGATGTCACTTAGGCCAGTCATTCCTCTCTTGACCTAGTCTCATCTGAATTGTCTCAAAACTTGAGAGAAGGATGTTAGAAAAGGTTTCATGGACTGATGGGTTATGGATAACACCTCTACTGATGATGGGACTGCATAGAATCATAGAATCAGCTAGGCTGGAAAAGACCTTTAAGATCATCAAGTCCAACCATTACCCCAGGAGTGCCAAGACCACCATTAAACCATGTCACTGAGGGCCATCATTCCCCTATACCATTTGGTAGGTGCAGTAAATAAGACACAGATCTCACTGCCTGGGTTAATTACAGGGAAAATTAAAAGCTTAGACCACCAGCTAAAACTTTGCCAGGTCTTCTGCTTTCATGCTGTTACTAGCAATAGTGATATCCCATCAGGAGTGAGCCTGTATCATGTCAACTCTTTGCTCTTCTGTGTAACAGCATTTATGGATCCCTGCAAGGAGATCAACTTGTGTCCTCTTCAAGTCTGCTGCAAGAAGCTGTGTCCTCCCAGCTCGTTTGGTGACCTTCACCTAGTTTGTGCACGTAGCAACATAAAAGGGTTCCACACCATGTAAGCACTACCTGGAAAATTAAAATTGGACTAATGTGACGCACGATTCTTGTTCCGGCTTCCAGTTGCTGATTGTATGGCAACCCTTCAGCTTCAAGTTCCCAAAATCCCCTAAAATGACAATCACAGGTAAGTGATTGTATCAGCAGTTGTATCACACCCACACTAATATTTGGGAGGGACAGTGCTGAGATGACAAAATTAGAGCTCCCACTATCATGTTTTGTAACAGATTAGGACCAGAGGCACAAAGGCTGGCTTAAAGAAGGGTATAAAACCTTGTATCACCCACAGCCTTCTATCCAGTTCTCTTGTCTCAGTCTCAGCAGTGAAAGAGGTAAGTGTGACTTCACTCATTCTTTCTACTACTATTAGCATTTACTTTAACAGTGTTCTTGTCACAGAGATGATTCCTGCATGTGTTTTTTCAGACTTAGATCCTTTGTTTCCCTCTGAAAATGTGTCTTTGTCCAGATGCAGCATCAGGAGTCACAGCATTAGGATAGGAAATAGTTCTCAAGCTATAGAAATACTTGGGTTGACTTCCACATCATGAAGTCTGAAATAATGCATATAGCCAATGAGCCTTTTCTCCTATTCCTGTTGGCTTCTTTTCACTGTTCACTTTGTAGGAACACCCTTGCCTGTCCAAGTTTCTATAGACAGGTCTGTCCATCCAATTTACCCAGTACTGAATTTCTCTTTCATATTGTACAGTTTCCAAAGGTGATCATGATGAGATGAAAGAAAGGACAGAGGTGGAGTTGGTACAAGAATGAGTTTAATTTTTTTAGCATGTAGAAATGTATCTACATCGCTGTTAACTTCTGATATTTTAAGCAGAGAATCATTGCTTAATAATATTAGTTAATCTCCCACCCACTTCTAGTATTTGTTCATTTACCTTAAAACTCCTTACTGCAGACTCAGAGCCAGCACCAGAAGGATGTCTTACTACAGTGAGTCCTGCCGACCCTGTGAGGTGACCTGCCCTCAGCCCATTGCCGAGAGCTACAATGAGCCCTGTGTGCAGCAGTGTCCCGACTCCAGAGCAGTGATCTTCCCCCCGCCAGCTGTGGTGACACTGCCGGGCCCCATACTCAGCTCTTTTCCTCAGGAGAGCGTGGTGGGATCATCAGGTCCAGCCCTGTTGGGAAGGTCCCTTAGTTCCCAAAGCTCTGGGGGCTATGGGGGCTCTCTGGGTTTGGGGAGCTATGGAGGCTCCGTGGGCTATGGGGGCTCCCGAGGCTATGGGAGCTCCCTGGGCTTGGGGGGCTACAGAGGCTCCTTTGGTTTGGGAGGCTACGGAGGCTCCCTGGGCTTGAGGGGTTATGGAGGTTCCCGGGGCTATGGGAGCTCCTTTGGTCTGGGGGGCTATGGTAGCTCCCTGGGCTATGGGGGCTTCCAGGGCTGTGGGGGCTCCTCTGGTATGGGGGGCTATGGGGGCTCCTTTGGCTTGGGAGGCTATGGAGGCTCACTTGGGTATGGCCATTCCCTAGGTTATGGAGCTGACTTGGGCTATGGGGGCTCCCTGGGCTATGGGGGTCAATACGGGTCCAGTGGCTTTGGCAGCTCTGGCTTCTCCTCCTGTGGCACTGGCATTACCTCCCAGAGGTGGGGCAGGTCCCGCCGTGGGAGCTGCGGGGCTTTCTGAAGTCCACAGGATGGAGCCCAGAACCAGCAATAACCCTGAAGCAAGGATCATGGCACCAGGACGTGGAACAAGTGCCATGGGGACCAGCAGCATGCGTCAGCTGCCCTGGCATGGGTCTTGAGGGGGTTGTGTGTACCCAGCAGCCCACTGCCCTGTGCCACGGTGTGCTCTCACTGCATGACTGAGCCCCGGTATCTCCTGCACCCTTCTATCACTTTGGCTGTCCCGTGTGTCCTGCACAGAGCACTGGTACCAGAGCCTGATACCTGCATCACACTTGTATTCCCCTTGTATTGCCTTGATTCTCTGTGAATGGCTGACTTCTCTTTAGCATTAAATCTCCGTGGTGTTGCATAAGAACCTCTCTGGTTTTCATTTGATTCTCAGCCTCCTCCAGGAGGAATATTCACTCTTCTACTTGGAATGCCACAGAAGTGACAATTTTCCTGTGATAAAGAGGAATTTCTTTCCTCAGCAGTAGATCTTTTGTCATTTGAAATACATTCCTGGTCCTCATAAAAAGTGCACACAGGTTTTGTGCAGTTTTCTTTGAGGGGACATTTTCCTGAGCCACTGTCTGTAGAAGGATTGATAGGCTGTACACTGGGATTAAGCATTGAGCTCAGATAAGTTCACAGACTCTGCTATACTTGGAAGAAGAGCTCAAATATATGATGAAGAAAATAGGAGGGTTTTTCTTAGATCTAAATGTTCTTGTTCCTATAAAACAACAGTAGCCAAGGGAACAACGGGAGTGCCCCATAAAAGGTAGGACTAGGATTTTTGCATTTCTCTGCCAGTGATGAGGGTGTTGACCTGATACTAAAAGCTAAACTTCACAAACTGTAAGACTGTTGACAAAGCAGAAAGATGACTGTATTATGCAGCAAAACTTTAATCAGAATGAAAGTTACAGGAAAACAACACCAACCTCTCCTTCGATGACAAACAAATACCCTCAACCAGCATAAAATGAGAACCAAGACAGAAATAATGTAGATCATTAATCCAAAGGAAAAGGACATTAACACTTTCAGGAGATTCACCACAGATGCTCCTGCTACTTTTAGCAGGGTCCACAGGTGCTGTAGAGGGACTGGGTACATTGGGGTGAGGAGTACGGGCTGCAGAACCTGGGGGCTTTACAGCTGGCTCTAGCAGGATCCTCGGGTGTCCCACAGCCTCTGGGTGTAGCGGGGCAGAGCCAGAGGGCTGCAGGCGGCAGGAACGTAGGGTCTGCCAAAGGTGCAGAGACCCCCCGAGGCCTGAGTGGCCCTGGCACCGTAGAGGCCTCCCAGCCCCAGGTTGCCTCCAAAGGCGGGTGCTCCGGAGGAGCCCACCACGGCTTGCTGGGGGAAGGAGCTGAGGATGGGGCCGGGGAAGGTGACAACCACAGGCGGTGGCTGGATGAAGGCTGAAGAGTCGGGACACTGGCGGGCGCACAGCTCGTTGCAGCTCTCAGCGATGGGCTGGGGGACGGCCACGCCGGTTCTTGGTGGGCACAGGTCGTAGCAAGACATCTTGGTATAGGGTGGAAAGTGGAAATGGAAAAGACTAAAAAAAGGCAGAAGATTTATGAGATAAATTTCAAAATGCTGATGTGTAAAATTAATATGATGTGCTTTTGTGTGCTATAGCATTTATTTTATATTCAGCCTTGATCAACTTTCTTTACACTAGCTGAGCACCTGGATCCAAATTTTCTGGCTGTATAAAGACCTCCCCAGGAATGACCATACACCACTGAATGACCTTTTTTTCTGGGCTTACGTGGATGTGTATTACGCTTCCTGCAAGCATGCACACTGAAGAACAATATAAGAACTTCAGTCACATCTACCACAGAGTTCCCAAAGTGGGGAAACAGTGTCAAGTTAAATGTGGCTTTTCTTGAAATAGAAGGGTTTATTTATATCTCCCAGAAAGATGCTGAACACAGATGAAAAGGTGGCTATCTTACATATTTACCGTAAATTTTATGAAGTACTAAAATAATAATCTGAAATAATATTTTCAGCTGCAATTTTTAGCCTTCTAGTTACTTAGAACACGCAAATATATTTCTCAGAGTTTCTGCACTCACACCCTGTTTCCCAAATCCCGCATTTATCACTCTTCCCACCAGAAGTATGGACAAAAACTTTATAATGCTCATAGGAATCTTCTTCTACTACTCTGATACACATTCTGATTAAATAAATAGAAATAGACTGAAAAATCATACTTACGAATCTCAGGAAGCCGAACAAGCCCAAAGACGTGTGTGGATGAACTCTTGGACTATAGCTTATATGGAGTTTCTCAGCATTCCAGTGGGGTTTGAATCTCCCTTGGTGCTGGGTTTTTCATTTGGCTGCCTAACAGGAATTGTTTAGGAGCTTTGAGTGATGAAAGTTTTGTGTTTGTCATGGTTATGATTTTATTCAAATTCTCGCATCGTGTGATGTCCGTGTTACACCATCATGATTTCTTTAATCTTGGGTCTTAATTGGTTCGAGTTGTAATTCCTTGTATCATTATGATTACTTCACTAGAATTGCCACGTGCATTAAGCTGACTCCACATGTTGCTTCTTCCTTTACAAAGTTGTCATAAGCTTGTCTGCTCAGAGATTTTGTAAGACTCATCTTTGGCTGACATGTACATTTTTCCTAAACAGTCCTTTAATCTGTCTCATAAATTAATTGGAGACAGAGTGCAGCTTCTCCTAGGACTACCCAGGATTTTGTCTTTTCTATCCCTAACTTAAATAGACTTCTTTGATCTAAGCTGTATTTAAAGTGGTCACAAATATCAGCAGAGATCATACAATGCCCATGACAATTCCCAAAAAGCTTTCCATAGAGAGAAACAGTCTTTTGAATGGCAACTTAATCCTATGTAAAAGTATTTTTTTTCACTAAAAGAGGTTAAGTGGGAATTGAAATTCAGCTTTAAAAGAGCTCATGGTTCTGCTGACTGTGATTTGAGCCAAGAAGTCAAAGAAATCACCATCTAGATATGTATGAGGCCCATGATGCACCAAAACAAGTAGAATTTTGAGGACAAATAGAAGAAGCAGATAAAGAGTTTTTGTTAGATGTCGTGGGCGTCAACTCTTACCAAGTATGTTCTGAAGCTTCTTGGGAAAAAGTTATTTGGAATGATTTCACAAACATTCATGAGCTGGTGTTCAACCCTGTGAATGTTTTGTGTTGGGTTAATGTATGAAAATGTGTGAGTGATTTAGATGCTTCAGTGTTACACAATCACATTTACTCTAATGTACAGGAAACAAGACGGTGCATGCCATTACTTTAATGAGATCATTAGAATTGTGCCATTGGAAGTCATGGGTCAACATTTACATAGCTCTTTCATTAAAAAAAATGACCTTTCAACTTTCTGAATCAAATCCTCTGTTAGTATAAGTTACCACATTTATTGTATTATGTCAGTATTCTGAACTATACTTTCCAGAAAAAAATTCTACATACATTGTGATTGTTTACACTTTTTCTGTGTTTTTTTTTTCAGAGGACAGTCAGTATCTTTTATCCAACTTTTAATGTCTTATGCATGTCCAAGGCATTTTACAGACCCTACTCATTGTCATACCAGTGAAATTCCCCGGAACTGAAATATCTTAATACCTGCAATGATTAAGGTGAATACTTCTTGATGTGATACAGCTTCATCCTGATATTTTAATTTTCTCTTCAAGTGATAAAGGGATTGTGTTTAGGTTGTGGGTTTTGTTCTGACATGTATTGTTTCACTTTGGGAGGAGTTGTGGCTGGGAAGGTAGGTGGAAACAATAGCTGGCTAAAGTGACTGTTTCCCCAACCAAAAATTATCCTGCATTTACTGCAGGGGAAGACAAAAAAAAACACTTTCCAGGCATAGAAAGTGAATTACTGCAATCCACATCTCCCAGCCTAGGGGTGAATTCCTTGCCTTGATTCACATTTTACCACAAAGTCTGCAAGTCAGAGCAAGTTGTGTCTCACTACTCTCTCAGGGCAACAAACTCTCTCCACATCAAAGTTCTCTAGTTTCTCCTGCCACTCAGTAGCATTATTCTGTATTTAATAACATTGTGATTTAAATGCTCTGTCAATTACAAAATGTCTTTGGGGGTTCCCATGGGAAAAAAGCGCTTATTGCAGATTTTCTCTAGCCACTCCTGAACAAAGTATAAAAGAGCACTTTAGAAGCACTGACTAATGATTTATGCATGCTGTTTTGTTGTTATAATGAGACTTGTGTGTCCCAATGCTGATTATTATCATCAGTCTAAACAGGGAGATGCTCTTAATCATATCACTTCACTAATCAGATTGTGGTTCCTAGTTGCTGGGGCTGGCCATCTCTGTCCCTGCCCTGCTTTTGCTTTTGTGTCACCCATGGCAGTGTGCTCCTTTCACAGTATCTAAAGCTGTCTTGAGCAAGAGATTCATAGACTGTGATAGAAACCTGCTGTTCTTTCCAGTATCTCTCTAGACCTTTAAGCAATCAGAAAGGGTGAGATTGGATGTTAAAGGCAAGAGATGAGGAGAGTTTAAAGGTCATATTTTCAAAATTAATAATAATTTCTACATATTAAATAAGAGACAGGAGTACTTCATTGGTCTGGAGATCTGTTACTGTTCTAAAGTACTCTTAAAACTAAGCATGACAAATTTTATCATAGGAGAGAAGGTGGAATGTATTTTCATGGAAGATAAAGAAAACAAATGTTTATGTGTAATAGTAACATAATCAACCAAAGAAAATTCATCATTTATTTTCAATTTTGCTGATAATCATATAATGAAGGTCAACTACACAGAATAGACAACAACCAAAAAATCATGCAGGTGCAGGATATGATGTTAGCAGAGACAAATATTGAGAGAAAGAAAATACATACAGTATGGAAAAGAAGGAAACAGCTATTCTCAATCCTTAACTCTGTTGCTCTCCCCTAAATGTGTACTAACATGGCCATGAATGAATAGTACTGCTCAAAAATATAAATCATAGAAAATCTGTAAAAAATGGGAATGTAAAATATAATTGGAAGGAAACAGACAATTATGGACTAAAGCAGTGAAGCAGAAAATCTTCTGTGCAATAACCAGGTATAAAATTAGCTCAATCCTCAAAAAATATTTAGAATAAGAAAAGATTAAAAAAAACATACTGAAAATCTGATGCATAAAGGATTTATTGAAAAAAGAAAAGCAGGAAAATCAGACTGATGACACAAAACAAAAAAATAGGACAAGAATAATAAAAAGAAATGAAAAAATGCAGATGAACATTTCTACTCTTACAGTTGTCAAGTTAAAAATTCAACCACAGCTAACAAAATACAATATTTTACACAGGTTCTTGCCACAACTTACAAAGATAAAGACAAAGCAAAACAAACGTGAAAATATAACACATTGAAAATACACAAAAGAGCATATTAGGGAAAAGATGTGTGAAACTTGAGTGAAACAAAAAATTAAACCCATAAATATCAGTGTTAATAGAAAAGATTAATAGTTGCAACACTGGGCATGACTAGCTTCTACCAAGAACTTCCATTACTGGAAGGTATGAAGGCTGTAGCAGTTGCTCTAGCAGGAGCCACGGGTGTCCCACAGCCTCTGGCTGTAGCGGGGCAGAGCCAGAGGGCTGCAGGCGGCAGGAGCGTAGGGTCTGCCAAAGGCGCAGAGGCCCCCCGAGGCCTGAGTGGCCCCGGTACCGTAGAGGCCTCCCAGCCCCAGGTTGCCTCCAAAGGCGGGTGCTCCGGAGGAGCCCACCACGGCTTGCTGGGGGAAGGAGCTGAGGATGGGGCCGGGGAAGGTGACAACCACAGGCGGTGGCTGGATGAAGGCTGAAGAGTCGGGACACTGGCGGGCGCACAGCTCGTTGCAGCTCTCAGCAATGGGCTGGGGAACGGCCACGCTGGTTCTTGGTGGGCACAGGTCGTAGCAAGACATCTTGGTGTGTGAAGAGAGGTGAGCCTGCAAAAGAAGGCACCAAGCATGGGTGTCACGAGCAAGGGCCAGATCACCCTGCTGGAGCTCTGCCCTGATCATCGTACTTTTCTGGGGATGCAGGGGCCAAAGCCACTGCCTTGCCCGCACTGTCCAAGACTTTTGCTTGGCTCATCCAGCCCCCCTCAGCACTCTACTCTCCAAACACTGATCCCTTCCCCAGACCCCATGCACGGCCTTATTCTGTGTGTCCTGGCCACGCAGCTCCTTTCTCCCTCCCCCCGCCTTGGCTAAGGGCACTCAGGCGATCCCAGCCTGCTGCCAGCTTGTCGGCTGCTGTCAGAGCTCTCCTGGCCAGGGGGGCCCTCACCAGCCTCGGCCACAGGAGCAGAGCCCCGCAGGCACTCACCTACCCTTTTCCTGAGCACAGCAAGGCAGGAGCGATGAATGCCAGCGCTCATCCCGGCCAGGGCTTTTATGCCTGGCTGGCGAGGGTGGGGAGCAGTGGCCGCTGTGGGGGCACGTGGCTCACGGCAGCCGGTTCCCGGCCTCCTCCCTGAGTGGTGCGGGGCTGTTTTGCTGACATTGTTTCCTCACCAGCCCCAACCTGCTCTATCAGCCTCAGTAATTACCCTGCTTGGTCACTTGATTGCTGCCACCTCATGGGTCAAATTGCCCCCACTGGCTTTTCATTATCTTCATGTGTAAGAGAACATGCTGTGCGAAAAATGCTGACCACAAATGCCATGCGTGGCATAGCTTTTCTCCCTGGGCTTGGCATCGAGGCATCCTCAGGCATTCATTTCAGAGCCACAGGGCAGATGGGGCTGTTGCTGCTGGGCAACAATTACACTTCCCAAGGACCATGAAACGCAATGCGGAGTGAAGGAGGCCGGGCGCAAAATGTGCTGTTCTGGCAAGGGGATGCTGACTCAGGGAGGGGCAGGAGCCAGACAGCCCCATTATCATGGGCAGGAAGGTGTTTCCAACTCTGCAGATTGGCCCGTGTATTGCTGAGCCATGGCAAGGCTGGTATAAAAGCCGTGCCTCTGCCAGTCTCTCCCAACCACCACTCTGGTCGCCTTCTCCTCGAGGAACAGGGTAAGTCTGTGAGCGCTTGTCCTTCTGGCCCTGTGCACCGTACCCAAGCTCTCCATCTTGGGACTTACCCTTTGCTGCTTGCTTTTAAACTGTGACTTCTTGCAGAGCACCATCCCATCGCACACCAAGATGTCTTGCTACGACCTGTGCCCACCAAGAACCGGCGTGGCCGTCCCCCAGCCCACCGCTGAGAGCTGCAACGAGCTGTGCGCCTGCCAGTGTCCCGACTCTTCAGCCTTCATCCAGCCACCGCCTGTGGTTGTCACCTTCCCCGGCCCCATCCTCAGCTCCTTCCCCCAGCAAGCCGTGGTGGGCTCCTCCGGAGCACCCGCCTTTGGGGGCAACCTGGGGCTGGGAGGCCTCTACGGTGCCGGGGCCACTCAGGCCTCGGGGGGTCTCTGCACCTTTGGCAGACCCTACGCTCCTGCTGCCTGCAGCCCTCTGGCTCTGCCCCGCTACAGCCAGAGGCTCTGGAACTCCTGTGGCTCCTGCTAGAGCCAGCCCCACGTTCCCCAGAGTTCCTGGGACACCTCACCCTTAGGCCTCCTGTCATTTTTTCTCCGATTTCCCTCTGTCCGTGATGCTTTTTCTTCTTGCTCCTTCCCATGCCCATGTGTGTCACTCCACCAGTGCTCCATGAGGAAATTGCTTATCTCTGAAGCAGCCACTGCCTGGTGAAAGCCTGAAGAAAAACCTCACCTGAAGCCCAAAAGGAAAATCTGCATGTTTCAGCCTTATGTTTCTTTCTTTACTGCAATAAAACAAGCATGCATCCAAGGCCTGCTTCTGCATCCTTCTGTCACAGGCCAGCCTGGTCTGCAGTGTTCACTGGTCGTGCTCAGGGCACAGCCAGACAGGCCACGGTGATCTTGCAGCCCTGGCAGAAGAGCCACGCTGAGCTGCCTTTGGGGACACCCCACAGCCTGGGCCCCTCTGGACACACACATCCTCAGAGCTAAGCTCCAGGGACACAGGCTGAAAGTGGCTGCTCCCCTGCCAGCAGGACATGCAGCCCTAGGGCATCTGCAGACTTGCAGCCTCCTTGCACATCTGTGTGTCTACACCATGGCCTGAAGGCAGTCAGAGGTAATGCCTGCAGTGGCTCCAGCCCTGGGAGCCTCCTTGGCACTGCTTGAGGCCCAGAGAGAGAAAGCAAAGGGGAGGCTTTGCCTTCCTTATTCCGTTGTCGCTCACTTCCCTTTCTCTTTCTTTGTCTTTTTTTTCCCATTCCCACCTTCTAATTCTCCTTCTCCCTTCTTCTTCCCCTTCTGCTTCTCTCTTCTTCCCCTTCCTTCTCTTTCTCCCTCCATAACACCCACTCGCTGCTCCTTGGTTCCCTGCTGCACACACAAAATTACAGGAATCACAGCCTGATGAAAGTAGAAGCAGACTTTGCAGGGAGGGCAACTTGTCATGCTGCCTCCTTAAACAGGGACACTGGGAGCTGGCTGCCTAGCACCATCTCCAGGGGGCTTTTGCACCTCTACAAGGGCAGAGACTTCACAAGCCCCCAGGCCAAGAGGTGTCAGTGCTTGCTCAACCTTACCCTGCAGAAATGGGCTTGGAATGTAACAGTTGAATGAGACTCCTGTGTTTCTCTGGAGCCCATTCCCTCTAGACTTGGCGCTGACACTGTGGAAAAGAGCCTGGCCCCCTCTTATCAACACCTTCCCTTCAGATATTTACACACATTGATGAACCCCCCTGAGCATCCTCTACATGTGGAGAAGTCCCAGCTCACTGATCCCCTCACCACAACACAGAGTCTCCTTTACTTGCCATCATTTTCCTGCTTTAACCCCAGCTAGCCACTAAACACCACAGAGCAGCTTGCCTCTACCTCCCTCCTGGGATGGGAGAGACGGATAAAACTGAGAAAATTCATGGGATGAGAGAAAGACACCTCCATAAGGGAAGCAAATGCCATGCAGACAAGCAAAGCAAAGCAAGGAATTCATTCTCCAAGTGCAGCAGATGTTCATCCATCATCAGGAAATCAGGGCTCCATCACATGTAGTTGCTGCAGCACAGGATACTGCGGAATGCCCTTACTAGACCATGTTTCTAGCTCTTGCTCACCTTGGCGCTGCCCGGCACCCCCAGGGCCTTTCTTGACAAACTGCACTTCACAACCCACTGCCAGGTACCTGGCATGTGGAATAATACACACTCTTGCCAGCCCCCTCTGTGCAGATGCTTGGAGATGCTGCGGTGCTGATGGAGAGCACTGGGGGCCTGTTGGAATAGCTGCAGCTCTTGGGAAGAAGAGCAGGCACAGGAGCACTGCCAGAGCCTATTCTGATCCCTTCCATTTCACTGGTCCTTCAAGCCCCACCAAACACTTTTCTCCATCCTGCCTACATGCTCCGTGTCCCACCACCACCCACCTTCACCTAACCTGTGCCCTAAATCCCTACAACTGGGAGAAGAAGGAAGGGAGACAAAGCTTGGATGCAGGATAACTTTATTGTGCCCAGA